CGGCCGGTACCCCACCCCCGCCTGCAGCCTCCTCCCACTTCCGCCAGCACGACCCCCGCAGGCCGCTGCCCGGGGCTGGAGCCCGTTTGGGACCGCGAGGCTGCCGCGCAGGCGGCTGGAACCTGGAGGGTGCGCTTCCCCGGAGCCTTGCTGCGCACTGGCCCTGTCGCCTGCCAGCGTCTGGCGTGATGCTCGTGGGTGGCAAAGCAGAGAAGACAGTCCAATGTCCCCCCTACACACACTCTCTCTCACTCACACTCTCTCTCTCTCTGCTTTACGGAGTGGGGGTGAAGGGATGGGCAAGCTGGGGGCGAAGGGGTCACAGACATCATAAAGGTCCTCCATGTCGCCCAGTCTGGCATCATGTCCCAGAGGGCAGGCGACATAATAGGCCCTCCCTGGGCGTGTCAGCGGTACCTGGGGCTGATACTTGGGTACCATCATTTAGGAGCCGCCTTGCAGAAGACCAGTGGCGTTCTGCAGGCCGCAGTGCAGTTCACGGGGTCTACCGGGCACTGGAGGAACACGGTTCGAGAGCAGAACTTGTCTTTGCGGCTGGGCCCAGTGATCTTCCTGGGAAGAAGGGCTGGGGAGGGGCAACGGAGGGGGAGGAGACTGAAGTACCATTCGACTTTTCTTCTGAATCATGGTTAATTTTCAAACACATATTGCTAACAGCCCTAGCTTGTCCCGTTCCCCTATTCGTTGGCTAGCCATGAAGGAATGTTATCTCTGGGTATTAGGCCCGTCCATTTTTGTTGATATTTGCCTTTGGAGGTAACACCAATCGTCTCTTAATACCCTGGCCCCAAGGTGGGGCCTACTTACAGAGAGGCTACTCTCCCCATCTTCTCTTTGAACCAATAAAAAGTTCCATTTAATAGACAGGATCCTTGGGTTGCTCGTGGGATAGAATCCCCGAAAGGTTGAGGGGCAGGAAAGAAAACTATTGTTACCTTTGAGGCAAAGAAGGGGGAGGGGGGTGTTCACTCTTAACAAGAACCTTGGAAAACTTCCATAAACGAAGATTTGAGAACCAACTGTAATAGTTCTTAATGTGGGGAAAAAAAATAGTGATTAAAAAAAATTTAATACCAAGCTTAGGCTTCCTTCTGGAATGACAAGCTGTTCAATACTATCTTCTTCGCAACCTGTGTCCCTACAACAAACGGAAGAGAACCCCTGTAATGCAAATTAACATTAGCTGTTAGGCACCCAAAAGGCTTATTTTGCACAGGTTTCTCTTTGATACCCTGCTCCCCTTAATTTTTATTTTTGATGACACAGTTTTTGATATATTGTCATGTGTTATTTTCTTTATGGAACACTTTGGGTAAGGAACTGAAAAGACAGGGGGAAATTCTGTATATTCTAGCCTACATAAGAACAATAAAGGAAACAAAGAGGTGTCTGTGCCGTGCATCATCCCGTTTTCTTCCTTGGATTCTTTTGAAAACGCTCAGCCGCTCACCTTGTTTCACCTGCCCTCTCAATCATTACTGATAAAAGGCTCTTCTTACACCTTTTTCTCACACGCTTGTTCTCAATGAGGCTGCAATCAGATTCATTCTAAGGTATTAAGAGTAAGTAACCACGCAATTAGCAATTGCTTTGTAAAAGTGAAGGACCAAGTGCAATTAGGCAGTAGACTTGAGACTGACTGGGAGGCTTCCCCTTACCCCTTTGCCCCTGCTATATTTAAGAGAACTGGGTTTATCTGTGCCTCCATAAAACCACACTCCCCTCACCCTCATTTAAAATAAAACAAACAAATGATCCAAGAGTGATCTACATTACCAAGGCATTCCAACCACAGTACTACCATTGGGGAAGATCATCTTGCACAAGGAAACTTGGGGGTTTATCTGATTATACTGAACACTGATTTTTAAAAAAATTTATCACTTTATTGGGAGCTCTTACAGATACCATAGCAGTCCATACTTCAAACACATCAAGCAGTTTTGTACAATTGCTAACAATCAGTTTCAAAACATTTTGATTCTTCTTGACCTGGATATCAGCTCCCCTCTATCCCCTTCCTACACACCCCCAATCCTTTTTTCCCCTTATAACTGTTTTGTTTTGGGGTTTTTTTTGGGCCATATCTTATATATCCATTCACATACAATTCTGTTGTTCTATCCCATTGAGTGGGATTATACAGGCATCAATGCTACCTGCTCCCTATTCCCCCTTCAACACCCCCCCCCCTCTCTTCCCATACCCTCTGGGAACCATTACTGCTGTTACTGTTTCTGAAGGGTTATCTATCTTTTGTGTCATGTATGGAATGATCTTAAATATACAAATGAACATACACAAATCTAACATGATTCATGAGGCAAAATTAATAAAAACCATAATAGTAAGGTGAGCGCTGATCTTGAAAGCTTTTTAGTCCCTGGCTAGACAATAGCATTAAGATTGGGAACAGCTTAAAAGATAGTATCTTAATAATTTCTACACCAACTTTCTTTTCAGCTAGAAATATAGTCAAATCAACATAAACTGCTTTACTCTCAAAAGATCTAAACTATTATTTCTAGCCTTCATGAAAAGACGGCTAGTATATCATTTTATAGATTTGTTATTGACTATGGAGCTCTGGTGTAGTGGTTAAGCATTGGGCGGTGATCCGCGAGGTTGGTAGTTCAAAACCACCAGCAGCTCTGTGGGAGAAAGACTGTGCTTTGCTTTCTACTCTCATAAAACAGTTATCATCCTGGTAACCCGCAGGAGGTGGCTCTGAGTCAGTATTGACTCGATGGAAGTGAGAGTTCATCGTAGAATAAAGAAGATTGCTCTTTGCATCGCCACACTTCCCCCCAAGCACTTGCTATCTGTTTGGTGATCCAATCATGATCAAGCACAGCTAGGCTATTTCTATTAGGATTTCTGGAACTCATACCTTTGACCCAGCAAGTGGAAGGGGAAAAAGTACAAGACGTATATTGCTTTTAATAATGAAAAATTGGAAAGCAACATCATATATAATAATAGTTACTGACATTTATTGAGTGCTTATTATGTGACAAGTACTATAGTAAATGCTCTAGATGGGTTACAATACTGTTTTTATACAATTTACAGCTGAAGAAACAAGCGCGGAGGAAATTGGAGTGCATGTATCCAATATTAAGCACTATACAACCACTACCAATGTTGATGTCAATCTTTCTTTAGTGACACTGAAAGTGTCTGGACTAAAATCATAGTATGATTCCGTTTATGTTAAATTGTCTGTGAATAGTGCTGTCTCATAGAATGTTTACCACAGTGATGAATGAGATTATATGAACTTGAATATTTTTTGTACTTTTCCATATGGTTTGGCTTTCCTTAAATGAGCTTAACAATTTAAGAAAAGCAAAATTATATTTAAAAGAAAAGCTAATAACACTTTAATTTCTTAGGCCTCATTCCTAACAACTTATTGATTATATCATAATGAAATGAAAATGTTAAATAAATCATAAAATTTGGATAGCTAGAGTAAAACATTGGTGTTTTTCAAATGTCTTGAATTTAAAAGTAAACCTGTGATATGGCTGAAAGGAGCTCTGGTGTCATATGTGTTATGCACTGGGCTCCTAACTGCAAGTCTAGCAATTCAAAACTACCAGTTGCTCCGAGGGAGAAAGATGAGGCTTTCTACTCCCAGAAAGATTTCCAGTCTGCAGATCTATTGAGGCAGTTCTACTTTGTCCTAGCGGGCGGGCATGAGTCAGGAATCAACTCGGTGGTGGTGAGGATGGTATTGCTTCACTGGCCTTTAAAAGTTTTTCATCTCTACAAAAGAAACTTTCCCAAAGCTTTCTTTCTGCTTTTTAATAAGCAAAACGGAAATACGTTCCCTTCATTAAAACATATAAACCAAAAAAACAAACTCACTGCCATTGATTTGATGTCCCCTCATATGTTTCAGAAGACTTAAAGCCTGTTGGGCAATTTAAATGAGTTGAAAGTAGTACAAGGTCATCTTTGGCTCCTTTTAGCTGAAGATGAGCATCCGTATCTAGGCAGAACTTCCCTTGATTTCAGTCATCCACATCAGCGTTTCCCAAATATCTTAAGAAGTCACCTAAGGCACTTCTAAAAATAAGAGCCCTGGTTCCCACACCAAGGCTTATAGAAGCAAGCTCTTATGAAAGAAGAGTGGAAAACTGCTAATTGCCAAGGTTTGTGTGCATTTTTAAAACTCTTCTCAAGTACACCTTACTGGGCATGAACACGGTGCCAGCGAGCCGCAGTAATGTACTGGATCTGGAGAGTTGATAAGATGTTCACAATGGCTGCACTTTTGGCTGAGTTCTAGTTGCTTCTCGTCTCTGCAGTGTCGGTTCACATGGACAAGTTTGGCATCCAGATATTTCCGTGGCACTTTTTCATTTAATCAAAAAGTATCTCAGACGATTCTGGATTCCGTCCTTCCTTTTCAAAGTATTTAGAAGTTACCCATTTCCAGATTCAACCCTTAAAAAGTTGGATTTATAAATGTTATTTATAAATTACAACATTGTTTTAAAAGTCGGGAGCATGGCTTTAGACTGGAATTTCTAGATTCTTTAAAATGAAACATTGATCTCCACTTGAATGTAACAAAAGGGTTAAACAGCTGTGGAATGTTCCATTAGTCTTGCAGGGAACTTGAGAACTTCAAAGAACTATAATTTACACAGAAGAACTGCATTTCAGGTGAGCTAAGACTTAGAGGTTAAAAGGTAGGAAAGTAGACTTTCTGGTTTCAACCCCCAGGGCATTTCCGAATAGGGATAGCTGTAGAATCCCACTGAGAAACAAGTAGCTTTCTGTTACTCAGCTGTCTATTGCTTTGCCCTTAGAAACGTCCCTTCCCTTTTCCGTGGGAACAGGTGGCATAGCCTGTTTGCAGGTAAGCGCTTAAAACTTGGTTTCTGTGGGAAATTCATTGGAATGAAATGCTTACCCTTTTTACTGGAATGTATGTGGCTTATGCAAGGCGAAGAGTTAATAGATACTAGAATTTTGCTCAGCAAAGCATGAAATGTTTTGCTTTCGACGTATTTTAAAGATGTTCCCCCTTTAAATCATGTTTTTAGTACGCGAAAGATAGTTTATAGACTATGTATCATTAGGAAACGGGTGAGGAGGTGAAAATCCAAAGGATGGTAGCAACAACTACAGTTTGTGTCGTCAGAGAATGTGTCACTGCGTGCAACAGTGTGAAAGGAATCACGGGTCACAGGTGGGAACCGCTACTTCTTAAAAAAAGGGGGGGAGAGCCGTAAAGTACTTTATGCTAAAAACTCATTACTAATTTCAGGTCAAAAAATTAAAACAAAAGCCACAGTTTTATGCATTGAACAAATATGGACATGAAGAGACATGGAATCGACAACCTGAACAACAAAAAAAGAGGCCTTTAATGTCTTTTCAAAAGTTTTGTATGATAATTGAGGTTATTTTATTAATATTTAGACATTTTAAATCATGTCACCATTTTCCTAGTGCAGTTTTTAGCAAACACTTCCGCTTCAAAGATACCATTTCCTTAGACTGTACTTCAGAAAGACATTTCCTTTTTAATGTGTGAGTATGAATATCAGCATATTAGACAGCCTCCGGTTTGAACCTTAAGCTTTTCACTGTGGGTGGCACGTTTTACTGTTTGGCTGAACGATATCTTCCTTAGCGGGTGCTGCCTTCCAGCTGTGCTACCAGCATCTGCTATTGGCCGAATTGTCTTAGAAGACAGCTTGTGGCTGGCCTCTGAAAACCATACCTGGCCCAAAGAAGTAACTAGGATCCAGAGTCAGTGTTTTTACCATCACCGCAAAGTTACGGTTTTAAATCTTATTCATTTTCATTTTTTCACCTACTTTCCAGTTTTCTTAGCAGAAACAAAGTTTATAACGTTTAACCTACAAACTTGGTTTTCTAGTGAACCTAAATACTTTAACTTCGATCACAGAGAGAGTGGGGCTCTGTCTCAGCTGAAACAGATCTGCCTTTTATCTGACGCCCCGTGACGGTGTGCCTCAGAAAGAATCTTGACTAGGATTTCCTTTTGTCTTTATCTTTACTTAGTGAAAGGCATCCGTGAAGAGTCACCTTCAGACAAAGAAGGAAAGCAGGGGGGACAATCACTTCTTCCAGAGGCTTTGGAACAAAGTGTTAAAATAACCTGGAACGTGTCCACCAAAGACACTAGAAAGCCAAAAGTTCACCTGAGGGTGATTTGGGAAGAAAAAGAAAAACCAATATGCAAACTCGGAGTGGCCTCATTTTTCTAGATGGTGGCCCTCGGGAAGAGTCCCAAGGAAGCTCTCTCTTAACAAAAGCTTCAATGTCCTGAGACTGCCCTAGACCCTGCTGGTCAACTCCAGCTTCTTCTGTCTGGAAATCAGATTTACTGCTGACTCTTCCTACCAGGGAGATGCATGCGTCCGTGGTGACTGCACATGTGTTACTGCTGCTGAGTATGGGGTGGACATCAGACGCTCTCTGCTCACCCACAATTTTTTACAGAGACTGTTGGATCCGTCGCTTCCCGGGTCTTCTGGTTGACCTCGAGGAGTCCCAGAAGCTGGGAGCGCAGTTCTTGAAGTATTACACTGAAAGCACGGGCCAGAGGTGCAGTAGGAGCTGCTGCCTTAGGAAAGATGGTAAGTACGTGTACTGATTTTGCCTGAGCCGAGAATGAGAGCCCAAGAGCCCTAATGGTAGAGCCTGTGAATCATTGGCAAGACCTAGAGAAGGTCCTCTGGGATTAGGGGTGTGTGTGTGTGTGTGTGTGTGTGTGTGTGTGTGTGTGTGTG